CCTGAAGTTTCCCTGTAGGGAAACAGGCTGGGGCCTGTAGGCCCTGTCAGAAGGAAGCTTCCAGGCAAGAGCCTGGAAGTTTCCCTGTAGGGAAACAGGCTGGGGCCTGTAGGCCCTGTCAGAAAGAAGCTTCCAGGCAAGAGCCTGGAAGTTTCCCTGTAGGGAAACAGGCTGGGGCCTGTAGGCCCTGTCAGAAGGAAGCTTCCAGGCAAGAGCCAAGAGCCTGGAAGTTTCCCTGTAGGGAAACAGGCTGGAGGTCCGGGACGGGCCCTGCAGGGCCCGTGTGGCTGCACAGTATGCCACACCCGGGTACCTCCGAAGAAGTATAAATAAAGAGGCAGCGTCCAGCCATTCATTCATTCGCCTGTGTGCCATGCGGAGGAGCTGCCTTGGTAAATTGTGCGTGGAGGACTGCAGGTGCCCCGAGAAGAAGTGGGCTGTGAAGAAGACAGCGGCCATAGTGAACCAGCGAGAGAGGGACACCGGCGGCCATAGCTAGGAGGAGGAAGACGACGGCAGCCATAGCCGCCCAGCTGTTGGTGCAGACAGGGTATACAGAGTGTGTGTGTCTGTGCAGCATGGACATTCAGGGAGACCCTCGTAGGTGCGTGCATGTGAGGGTGAGGAAGAGTGAGGCTGGTGGTAGAGACAGTGTTCGGCGGCCATAGCTGCAAGTTGTATAGTTGTTCTGAACAGAGTTTAAAAGCAAGTCCGTTGTTGATTCTGAGTTCACGAGTTTGGTTTGCCATCGGTTCTCATGTGTGCATGTTGTGAGCAAGTCCAGAGTCGAGTCTGATTGCATTCGAATTAAAATTCGAAATTAATTAATTAAAATTATTTTTCAATTTCGAGGAAGAAATGCCGAGAAAGAATAACTAATTCTACGAATCTACATATTTTTGAAATTTTCGAAAAAAAAAAAAAATTTTGGAAAAGAAATGTGCGAGGAACAAGGCCTCACGGGGCCCTATCAGACGTCACATGTTCTGGGCAAAGGCCCCCAGCAAGCCAAGTGCCCGCCCTAAGTGAAGGCGGGCCTGAATATTCGTCAAAGGCCAAAATTCAACACTTTCATATGTGGGTATTTAGGCTCTTGCAGCACACCAGTTGGTTGAATGGTCGCGCGAGCCTCGCTAAGCTGCGTCGCACAGTTGGCCCAGGCCTTGACAGTTGCGCTTGGGCACATACACACAAAGCAGAGCCGATACATTGAGAAGCAGGCCATCGGCCTATGCAAAAGCAATATTGTCGACGCACCTACCTGGGAGCCCTGCACAGATGCAGCAAACAGCCCAAGTCTGGAGACTCAGACCGTGCCCAACTGTAAATGGGGCCCAAGCCCTCAACTGCAGTCTCGGGCCTGGGCGCAGGGACTGAGGTCCAACAGGAAGCTACTGGAAGCTTCCAGCCAGGCCACACACAGCATCCAGGAGGCTGTCACTTCCATATAGGAAGTGAGGCAGCCCAGGTCGGGCATTCTGGCCTGTGTAGGCAATGCGGAAGTGCTGCTGCGCTACTGATTGATGTTTCGCTGCAGCCAAGGGCGCTGACGGGGCGCGTAGAGGTGAAGTGGGGCGCTGCAGGGCAGCGGGGCGCAGGCAGCCATAGCCGGGCTGCTGGGCGCCAGGGGGTAGGAGGGCGATCTGGTGGTGTTCAGGGAAGGAGGCGAAGTGTGGGGTATCAAGGTCTGATGAGGGTGACGAGATACGTGCCTGGTGCATGAAGAGAGGTCGGCTATGGTGTTGACATCATGTACATTGGTTCGAGAGTCGAAGTGAGCCTGTTGCGTGAACACAACTGTAGGTAGGATAGGCGAGTAGAGTAGGCTGGGCGCTGGGCGCCAGACAGAGAGGAGCGACTTTGCATACTGTGTTGGTGTGGCGTACGGGATTGGACATTGGCTCATTACATTATTGTATTGCTCTATTTGGATGGATTCTCTGTGCAATTGTGCTCTCTGCTTGTATGCGACTACTCAGACATCTGTGTGATTTCACAACTTGGTTTTCTGTATATCGTTCACACGCATATTCCTTGCAAATGTTGAAAATGATAATTAATTGAGTATTTGCGAATTTACAAGAATTTCAAATGAATTCTGAAAATAATAAAAATTAATATGTAGTCGAGGGCGGAGCGATCCTATGTATGATTGATTGGGTGGTAGCATGGTAGGTAGGGTTAAAAAAAAGGGGGGTTGCACGGGTAGATTGATGATGATGATGATGGTCATGGGGGGAAGGAACGTTGGGGGAAAGTCGTGCAAGGGGGGGAA